TGGCGAGTTCCGTACTGCCGAGGTCTCTGGAACGCCTGATTTCGCTTCATTCAATGCTGGCGCCTACTTTCCATGCCCCCATGTCGTTTCAACTCCTGGAGTCCTCTCGCTGGCGCTGAGCGAGAACACAGTGCACGAGGTACTTCGTTTGCCAGATGACTTCAGATTCCCCGCCATTATCTCGGCAAACCTCCTTCGCTATGATCCGATCGGCTGGACACCTCTAGGTTTGTACATATTTTATTTTAATACTTATGTCATTTCTTTTTTTGTTTTTGTCAAGTTTCATTGACTCAAAAGCTATCTTGGACCCAGTGGCGTCAGCTGGTGAACTTCAAAAGTTGATTTGAAAATCATGTTATGGCTTCTGTTTCAGTTGCAATCTCCTTAAGCTGAATACACGTGGTTTGACTTTTTCGCATCTTGATTATGTTGTCAAGGTAACCTGGTTTAAGGCACTTCGTCCCAGATCTGCAAGTTCTCAGCGTCAGACCGAGTATTTGGTACATTCCCAGTCGTTTGCTGGCATCGTCAGTGAGTCTTGTCATTTATAGCATCAAGCTACAACTCGTCAAAGAGGCAAGTCAAGTCAAGTCCTTGACCAACTTTCAGCCGAATGGTTGTGTTATCACTCACCCTCCTGTTGTCCTGTTACACCTATCCACTCCCTGGCCTCGTATCTCACTCCATTGCTATCATGACTTCTAACTTGTTTGTATTTGACTACTCTACCTTCTTTGCCGAGTTTATTGGGGCGATTTGCCAGACTTTTTATTAAATAGTTTTGCACTACTTGTGGCTGTGATTTATTCCCGGCTCCCTTGGTTTCACGGATTCAATCCTTCCAGAACTGGTTTTGATTGAATGCAGCTCACGCTAATAATGAAGAAGTTAAACATCCATAAATGCCTGAGATGCTTATTTGATTTCCATATGGCACAAATAAGTCTTCGTAAATATGTATATTTAAATAAGGTATAATATATACAAAATCTACTATCATATATGTGTATGTTTATATAGCCATATATAATTGGCGGTGTTCTTTAATCGTGATCTAGTTTGCTTCTACTATTGCTGATATTCCCAAAGTGGCTTTGACTGGATGTTTATAATCAGTATCTTGTACTCTTGCTTCTATTGTATTGCTTTATGTAGCATCCACTATGGTAAATTTATCTATTCGGATGGCCCATGCAAAGTCGAGGCTCCCAGACGTAGAAAAGGGTATACTAGTTTGAGGAAAAAAATTAATTCATTTTAGGTCTTTTATTAAACTTATTTATTTTTGTTCCGGGCAAGAGAGCTTAGACTTTGGCTTGTTTCTGGAATTATAACTAGCCTCGTTGCACTTTTTATCATAATTATCAACCGAATCTTGTTGCACTCTTTTTTTACCAGTCTATGAAAAAATTACATGTGATTTTGGTCACATTTACGCGATACTCACTAAACTAAGGCATGCTGCATCAAGTGTGCTGACACTTCAAAAAGATTGCAAAATGGATTGGATAGCTGGATAATAGTCGCCATTATAAAATATCTCGTATTCAAACTAATCAGTACGAAATTAAGGGCGTTTTGGATCCTTTTCCGATTTCTTCTCATCGCTGTAGAAGTCGATGGCTGCACATGCTTGAAAGCGCACATACTTGATTTGTGTCCACCCACCTTAGAGATATAATTAATTTACGCTCTCATCTATTTCCCCTCGTCTATTATTTCAATGTATGGGATATTCTGAAGAAAGGTTATGCACCGTGGAAGTATGTATGCGCATTGAAAATGAATAAGTGAAGTGCTTTATTTATCAAAGCCTTCTTTTTTTACAAAATTTTGTAAGTGTTTTTAACAAATGTAAGCCACTTTAGTATTTTTTGTCGTAATTGTTGCAGTTCCCACGACAAATTGAGAAGGATGTTTGACTCTGTCATTGAATTTTTATTCTTATTTTTTTTTATCTGGACTGAAATAGAGTTTTAATCTTACCTAGATTCCATTAACACTCCTATAGACAATCTAAACGTGATATGCAGGAAACTTAGGTTATTAGGATTTTCTGGGAGCAGGGATCCATCGGGGTTGCATGACGATGGACCGAGGACGTATTCGCATGAATTTACAGTCACAGCTCCTCTATAGCTTCTGGTGAGGCCAACTTACGAATCCCCTCCACTCACCTCTTTAAACCAAATGAAAGGTACTCCAACAACCATCGAAACTTGTTATTTGGTAATAGTAGGAAGCTATATTAGCGGACTTTGTCAGAGAAGCGAAGCCATTTTGTCCACTCTATCTTATTGAGCCTATATTTTGGCTTAAATATATATTTCTCTTTACTTACATATCTTGTTATATCTAAGGGATTGTTAAATGAATAGCCATCTCTCTCTCTCGATACTTGGGGTTACACTCTTATTTGCTTGCTGTCAGTAACTTAATATAAAGATAAGTTATTTATTTTTCATCTCTTTAAAATTTAACTTTTGGGCCCTAATTCTTGTTTTTTTTATATTTCATCTATGTTGAATCGTGTGCAGAAATGCCCTCTTCTCGAGCCTCTTCATTCTCCTCTCCTCGCGGCGACTCTAACCCAGTCCACAGGTCGCCTTCCACTAGCGTTGATTCGGAAGCCACGGTTACCAATTCTCTTTCTTCTTTACAGCATTCTTCTCAAATCGCACCGTCTTCTGTTTAACCAATGACCAGTCCGCTGTTGCTACATATAGAGGAGATTTCTAGGTGACTTTGTGATAAATAACCGGCTAGTAGACACACATACCACAGCACTTGGAAAATGGGCATTGGCATGTATGTGTTAAAAGACGAATATGTAACCAAAAGTAGACACGTATACTCTGAAGAATGTACATGTAGACACAATTATCCCTGATCCCCTAAAATTTGAGATGAGCATTAGGAAAAATGGACAGACGAATGATACTGGCGTATCTGGCGCGGAATGACACTCATGTAAATATGCATGTCGGCAGACGTTCCGGATGATTCAGTTGATTAACGAAAAATAATATAAGCCTGGATCGCTCATGACAGGATATGGATAGCGGAGAGGAGTTTTTCATAAGTGGCTATACTGATCTCATGATCCTCTCTTTCATGCAAAGTGTATGCCTTTGGCCTAACCTTTACCAAATTACTTAAAGTTATTGTCCTTGCCTATCTGCATATTACTCAAGTTGATCGCTCATTCCTCAGAGCCACTTTTATTTTAAACCATCTCTTGGCTTTCCCTTATTTATTTCTCAAACCACTCTACCTTCCAGACTTTTATCTCTTCATTCTTGCCTTTGTTGGAGCCCTCTATTATACCCTTATCTTGCTCCGTTGTATCTACGTCTTGTGCAACTCCTTTTTGATCCTACAAGTCTATTACTTTTTATCATAAACCACTTTCTGCTGGAGAGCTTTTTTTTAAATAAGATCTTCATTCTTTCAATTTACACCTGCCCTATAATACCCAGTTTATCTATCTCGAGTAGCTCTTTACTGGCGAGACTTTAATTATCTTCCATTTATATGCATGGTTACTTGTTTATACATATATTAGTAATGATGAAAATGAGTTAGTCTTATGTAATTCGCTTTTTCTGGCTTCCTCAAAACGATTTCACTAATGACCTTTTCAAACTTTATCAGTTAAAACATTGCATCGATATGCTACGATTATTTTATCCTGTCTCTTTTGATGCAGATTTGCCGTTACATCTTGTAATTCTAGTGCAATATTTCGTGGTCGCACACAAAAGCCCTCTTGTTTAATGATATTATTTCCCATCATTCATCTATCCAGCTTGTTTATTTTTCAACCCTACTCTTTCTTGCCAATTTATAGCCATATCTGGCTGGCCTATTTACCAACTAAGTTCTATTATACTTTCTCACTTATACCTTTTTTTAGTATAT